CATGGACATCACCAGATGGGCAACACCGAAATCAGATTGACTATATAATTTGCAGTCAAAGATGGAGAAGCTCTATCCAGTCAGTAAAAACAAGACCTGGAGCTGACTGTGGTTCAGATCATGAGCTACTCATTGCAAAATTCAGACTTAAACTGAAGAAAATTGGGAAAACCACGAGGCCATTCAGGTTTGACCTAGATCGCATCCCTGATGAATATACAGTAGAGGTGAAGAATAGATTCAAGGGTCTGGATTTGATAGATAGAGTGCCTGAAGAACTATGGACAGAGGTTCGTGACATCGTACAGGAGGCAGCAATCACCACCATACCAAAGAAAAAGAAATGCAAGAAAGCAAAATGGCTTTCTGATGAGGCTTTACAAATAGCAGAGGAAAGAAGGAAAGCGAAAGGCAAAGGCGAAAAGGAAAGATTTACCCAACTGAACGCAGATTTCCAGAGAACAGCAAGGAGAGATAAGGAGGCCTTCCTGAATGAACAGTGCAAAGTAATAGAAGAAAACAATAGAATGGGAAGGACTAGAGATCTCTTCAAGAAAATTGGAGAAATCAAGGGAGCGTTCCATGCAAAGCTGGCCATGATAAAGGACAAAAACGGTAGGGACCTAACAGAAGCAGAAGAGATTAGGAAAAGATGGCAAGAATACACAGAAGAACTATACAAGAAAGACCTCGATGTCCTTGACAACCACGACGGTATAATCACTGACCTCGAGCCAGACATCCTGGAATGTGAAGTTAAATGGGCCTTAGAAAGCATTACTAACAACAAAGCTAGTGGAGGTGATGGTATTCCAGCTGAGCTATTCAAAGTCTTAGAAGATGATGCTGTTAAAGTGCTGCACTCCATTTGCCAGCAAATTTGGAAAACGCAACAGTGGCCACAGGATTGGAAAAGATCAGTATACATTCCAATCCCAAAGAAGGGCAATGCCAAGGAATGTTCAAACTATCGCACAATTGCACTCATATCACACGCTAGCAAGGTCATGCTCAAGATCCTACAAGCTAGGCTTCAACAGTACGTGGATAGAGAACTACCAGAAGTACAAGCTGGGTTTCGAAGAGGTAGAGGAACGAGAGATCATATTGCCAACATTCGCTGGATTATGGAGAAAGCAAGAGAGTACCAGAAAAATATCTACTTCTGCTTCATTGACTATGCTAAAGCCTTTGACTGTGTGGATCACAACAAACTATGGCAGGTCCTTAAAGAGATGGGAGTACCAGACCACCTCACATGTCTCTTGAGAAACCTGTATAAGGGCCAAGAAGCGACAGTTAGAACCGGATACGGAACAACTGATTGGTTCAGCATAGGAAAAGGAGTACGACAAGGATGTATACTGTCACCTTGCTTATTTAATATATATGCAGAGTACATCATGCGAAATGCTGGCCTGGATGAATCACAAGCGGGAATTAAGATTGCTGGGGAAAAGATCAACAACCTCAGATATGCAGATGATACCACTCTAATGGCTGAAAGTGAAAAGGATCTAAAGAGCCTCTTGCTCAGAGTAAAAGAGGAGAGCGCAAAAGTGGGCTTGAAGCTCAACATCAAAAAAACTAAGATCATGGCATCCGGCCCCATCACTCCTTGGCAAATAGAAGGGGAAGTCGTGGAAGTAGTGACAGACTTCACGTTCCTGGGATCCCAGATCACCGCAGACTGTGACTGCAGCCATGAAATTAAAAGACGCCTGCTCCTTGGGAGGAAAGCGATGGCGAACCTAAACAGCATGATAAAAAGTAGAGACATCACCCTGCCAACAAAAGTCCGCATGGTCAAAGCAATGGTATTCCCAGTAGTCATGTATGGCTGCGAGAGCTGGACTATAAGGAAGGCCGAGCGCCGAAGAATAGATTCTTTTGAACTATGGTGCTGGAGAAGACTCTTGAGAGTCCCTTGGACTGCAAGAAGAACAAATCAGTCAATCCTCAAAGAAATCAACCCTGACTGTTCCCTGGAAGGCCAGATAATGAAACTGAAGCTCAAATACTTTGGCCACCAAATGAGAAGGGAGCACTCACTGGAGAAGACCCTGATGCTGGGAAAGATTGAAGGTCAAAGAAGACGGGGACGGCAAAGGATGAGATGGTTAGACAGTGTCAAGTGTCTTAACAAGATGAAATGAATGGTACTGATTTGGAGAATGAATTCACTAAGTGCCAAAAGGTGTGTGTGTGTGTATATTGTAGGACGTATACACATGTATCTATTGTTTATTATGGCTGTTTTTCTGTGATTTATAGCTGTTTTGTTGGTGTGAAGCAAAACTAACATCATTTTGATTTGGGGGCTGTTGCAGCTAATATTAGGCCTCTGACAGTTTCCTGTGGTCCAGAAGACAGAGACATTCCTGGGGAGGGAAGTATTGAAGCCAGAGAACAACCAGTTTGTGTGTTTATGTAACTGAAAAACTTACCTGCTAGCCTGCTGAGGACATAGGTAGCTGCATAAGTATCAGCTTCACGCAGCCGCAGATTAACACCTAGCTAAGCAACTATTTGGAGTTGCGGTGGCTCAAGTGGTTAAGACGCTGAACTGCAGGCTGTGGAAGGTCAGTAGTTCAGCGGTTCAAGACCCAGGTGCCGCAAGACAGGGTGAGCTCCTGTCTCTAGTTCCAGCTCCTGCCAACCTAGCAGTTCGAAAGCAAGAAATTGCAAGTAGATAAATAGGTACCACTTCGGTGGGAAGGTAACAGCGTTCCGTGCGCCTTGGTGTTTAGTCATGCCGGCCACATGACCACGGAAACGTCTTCGGACAGTGCTGGCTCTTCGGCTTTGAAACGGAGATGAGCACCGCAACCCTAGAGTCGGATTCGACTGGCTTTCGAGCAAGGGAACCTTTACCTTTACCAAGCAACTATTTAACGCAGGCACTCTGAATGTCTAATTGTTTAACCATTCATAATGTGCCAAATCACAATCTCACCCCATATGTCGTAGAAATGCAATTTGTTACATTTTGTATAAAACTTCTTTTCATCGTCATCTTCCGAGCAGTTGATTTTGCCTGGAGGGGCTGCTCTCCTTTTTCATTGCAATGAAAAAGTTACTTTGTTCTTTGCTGATCCTGTCTGAGTGTGTGTATTGGGCAATCAAATAGGAAAAATCACCCTTTGCGCACAACAGTCTTTAAGGTACTCCTGGACTCTTGCTCTTTTATACTGCTACAAACAGACTAACACGATTATGATGATATAATTTCCAGGTTATGTGGATAGTGACATAGACACGTCACTGTATGAAGGCTGGGCCTCCCCGCTGCTCCTGGTAAGTCTCCCCCCAACTCGTCCCCCTCTGGTTGCCAGGAGAGACCTGGAAACCCTATAGCAAGTTGCCTATCCGTTGCTGCTAATGAGTTGTTCTTCACAGGTCAAAATAGCCCTATAAACAGCCTTGCCCTCTGCCTTTTACTGACATGTTGCAGCATAAGCAATTCTGATGACTTTGTGAGCAGGAGATTGTACACAAATACAGCCCAGTTTAGTGCTGAGCATTCATCTTGCAAAATATAATATAGTTCTAGATAGTACTTTACAAATACAGTAGCAACTGTGGAGAAATGCCTTGTCTCCTGGGGGGTTGGCAACAGCTAGGGCTTGACTGTACAGTTTAACCAGTTTCTCCCCCTTTGAGCTAAGAACAAGCAGGAGGGGGGAGGAAAATAGCTCATGGCCTTCCAGACGCATCTCTTAAGAAATGTTAATGGGTCTTGCTAGAGATAATGGGATGGGCCAGTTCACCCCCCTCCCCTTCTGCAAGCAAGGAACATAGAGGCTTGGAGTCCTTTTGCTAGACAGGTTAAAGGAACAAACTTCCTGAAGTCAACAGGAAAAGAAGCCTTGAGCTGGGCTGACCAGGGTCAAGGGAGAGGAAACACAGATTTGTTAAAACTGCCTTGCAAGGGGAAGGCGGTCTCTCTTTTCCTTGGGATGCTGAGCTGAACAGACCTCTTGTCTGAGCTTGGGTTTGGAGCAGGCCTCCATTTTGGACCATGTAGTTGACCTGGAAGGGCTGGGAGCAATAATTGACAATGGAAGATCTTTAGAAAATCAGGACATCTCAGATAAAGAGCCTGTCCTAATTTTATCATCTAGTTAGGGCATTTTTAGAGAGAGGGACAGAGGATTTGTGTTTTACCAGTTCTTCCTTGCTTCGATCAGGTGTGGTGATAACGTATGCTTGTAAAACATTTTCTTTTTAATAAATATTTTAAACTTTTGATTCTGGAAGTAGTTCTCTGTAACACAGAGACCCAACTGTTTTGGACACACTGTTTTAAAAGGGACCCAGGAAGGGAGGGGGCAAACAGTTGGCAACTGGCTATTCCCCTGGGGCGCACAATTTGTTAATCTGTCCCTGTGGTAGCCAGGCGCTGGGCTAGCGGGAGACACTGAGGCAAGGCCTCTGAGCTTGGAAGGGGAGCTAAAGATCCTGACCCCTTCAGTGGGAAACCGCTATATTGATCGGGTGGTGGTGGCGGGCTACCCTAGAGAGGAAAAGCCCCTCCAGGGGAATTGGAGACCCTAAGGAGGGGAAGGCAGAACACAGCCTGCACGGCAGAGCAGGAACGTTCTGCCACAGCAACAAAAAGCTTTTTCTTCAATGCTTGCTAAAGCATAAATCTTTTAAAAGAGATCGACTATATAATACAACTGGTAAGCTATGGTGTGAAGTAAACAACCTCCTGCAGTCATTTTCCCTTACACTTCATCTGCCCATGACTGTTTGGTACAGCAGAGGAGCGTGGGGCAAGAAAAGGGCAAGCAATGATTATGGGCAGCTAGTGCAGTGATAGCCCACAGATTGCCTGAGAAGATATTGAAGTCATCAGGAATATCCACCGTACTATTCTGAGATCCAACTAGCCCATAAGGCTTCAGGTTGCAAGCCAGCTGTAGAAAATGTCTATTTTTAAAAAAATTGTCAACAACAGTTTGTCTATTAGACTTTTATTTAACACAAGAGGCTTCCACCATCTCTTTCTCAGCATATTTTCACAAATTTTAAACTTATTCATAAACTCTTCGCAGCTCTTTCAGTACAACACCACCTTCACTCACTGCATTTTGGAAGCCTTTGAGCTGTTTTTTTTTAAAAAAGACAAAAGAATGAAGTCAATTGTTATTTTCACTTATACAAACTTTAGCACTATACAGCATATTCCACATTTTTCCCATTTATT